AGGAGTGGGATCCCTTCAGTAACTCTTTCCCCCCCACCCCAGCTTGTCAGGGGCTGGTTGATGGGAGTGGTGGGATGGTTGGTGTTAGCAGTGGGATCCCTCCAGTAACTAACTCTCTCTCTCTCCCCCCAGCTCTGTCTCATGATGTTATCGATGTTTCTGTTTAGAAACATGGGCCAGAACTACGACAAGCTGACCCGATACTCCTAGGAAGCCCCTTCCGCCCCAGGGGGTGGAGGGGGAGCAGATGGGCATGAGCCACCGCCCCCCAACTGGGACCATCCAGCATGGGCTGAAGCAGCTTTCTTTCTCTGTCTGTTCCTGAGTGTTCTTGGCAGGGGGCAGGGCCCCTGGTCCATTTCCCCCCAACCCCGGTGTGTCATCCCCCGCCCCGTCCCTGGCCTGAGCTGTGCTCACCCTTTGGGGCAGTGGCGTAGGGATGGCGCAGCTATTTCGTTCTGTCTCTGGGTATCTATTAGTGGGGTTTGCTGCAGTAGGGAGGGGAAGTGCAGGGTGGGGTGAGGGTGGGGGAGAGAGGTCCTGGTACCATGGGCGGGGGGCAATCGGGAAGGGGCAGGAGGTTGGGACGTGTGAATATGTCTGTGTGCCATTGAATGTGTTCTCCATGGAGGGGGGGGGACCCCCGGTTCCCCCCTCCCCAGGAATTCACAACTTTTGTAAAATCCACTTTGTAAATAAAATAAAAATGTGGGGTCCCAGCCCTGAAAAATTGGTCAGTTTTGTTATTTGCAAAGGATGCTGGGAGCAAATTAACCAGGAGGGCGTGTCCCCTCCCCTCTCCCTGCCCCAGTCCCCCCTCCCACTCCCCCCAATGCTGGGGACCCTATTGTAAATGCTGCCCCCAGTGGGGCTATTTGGTATTGCTAAATGCTCATTGCAAATGTGATAATGCCCCTCGCCCTACATGGGCAGGCGGCCGGGCGTGTACCTGGCGCGGTTCACACCTGTACCCGAGCCCTGCCCCTTTTGTGGCGTGAGGGAGAACCTGGCGCAGCCCCTATTCCGGCTCCTCCAGAACCTCTTGTTGAGGTTCTGGCTGCACCTTTCCCTGCACCTGTTCCTCTTCGCACACCCCATCCGTGGCCCCACGAAGTCACGAGACCTCCCCGACAACCTCCTCCTGGCCCTGGCCAAACACTCCATCGACACCACCAGGAGGAGGATGCTGGACGGGGGGGTGCTCTGCGACCGTGGGGCCTATTTCCGGTCCTCCCTCGTCTCCCACATCCGGGCAGAGTTCCACTGGGCAGCCTCCGCTGGCTCCCTCGACACCTCCCAGGAGCAGTGGGTGCTGTCTGGGGTTCTCTGCTCGGTGTCCCCAGCCGGTACCCTCATTTTGAACCTATGACCTTCACCTTGTCCCCCGTACTCATTTGGTCCCTGGGTCCAGTGGTCCCTCCCGCTAGGCTGGGGGAGGGGCCTTTAGAAGTGGGCGGGCTTGCACCTGCCCACCTCCTGGGTTTTCCAATAAGACAGGTTGGGGGGCAGTGGGTCCCCAAATAACCAGCCCCCGCACCCCATCCCAGAGGGGCGGCGTCCCAGCGCCGGGCGAGGGGTCCCCGTATAAGCAGACACATGCCGGCCTGACCAGCGCTGGCTCCCGCCGGTGTCTCTGCGACGTCGCTCTGCGGGCGGATTTTGCCTGGCCAGGGCTAGATTCTCATCGGTTGCTAGTGGCAAATGTCAGTTTTGAGGCGCACACAACCTCCCGAGGAAAATCCTTCCGGCGCGATTTCCAGCCCGGGCTGCGCGGCTGGCGAAGGCGGGAGAGGTCAGTGTCCGGCCGTTCCTGTTGCACGCGCGATGCCGGTGACAGGTTGGAACGGTGACAAAGCGGGAACCTTTGGGAGCTCCTGGCCGCAGTGTTCACCGATTTCCCTGAACTCCCCTGCAGAGCAATACAGACAAAAAACTGCCTCATGATTAGGGCCCTACCAAATTCCTGGTCCAGTTTGGTCAATTTCACAATTTCAGCTGTTTACCTCTGAAATTTCAGGGGGTTGTAACCCTGGGGGGCCTGACCCAAAAGAGGATTGTGGGGGGGGGTCACAAAGCTGTTGGGAGTCGTGGGGTTGCCACCCTCACTTCTGTGCTGCTTTCGGAGCTGGGCCGTGGCGCTTCCTGCAGCCAGGGGAGGCTCCCGGAGCGGGGAGGTGATTCTGATCGCCCCAGCCAGTGGTGGATTAATGCCCGGGGGCCTCAGCCAATTTTGGGGCCCCCTGAAGAAACGGGCACCTTGCCCCGGCAGGAACCAAGGGGGTGGAAACCCCGAGCCCAGCTCTAGGGCTGCTCCAGCCCAGAAGTGGGGGTTATCACCCTCTTTTCTGCGCTGCCTCTGGAGGTGGGACTGATCTCCCCACTGAGGGCGGCTGTGCAGGGAAAGACGAGTCCTGTCCCTCCCCAGCCCCACCCGGCCCAGCAGCCGCACTCCTGGCAACGCGGGGAGATCGAATTTCCCAGTGAAGGGCTTATTTCACAGTCCGTGACACGTTTTCACAGTTGTGAAATTGATAGGGCCCAATGATTCATCATAACTCTGGATCCTTATCTGTCAAAGTTATAAAATATAAACCGTATTCTCCCTCACACACCACCCCGTGAGGCAGGGCAGGGCCGTCCCCGCCGCTCTACAGATGGGGAAACTGAGGTACTGAGGAAGTCTGCAACGGAGCTGGGTGTTGCTCTACGCACAGCTTCACCCCGCTGCCCGAGCCGCCGCCCTGCCCAGCCGCTGACACAGAGGGGGGAGGCCGTGGGCATCTCCTGGCGAGTGCCCAGGTGTGGTGGGGCACCCTGTGACAGGGCCCCTCCATGCTGGCCGGTGGCCAGTTCTGGAATCAGAACCCCATTCGAATCAGCGCCCTGGGTGAAACGGACCAGTACGGGTCCCAGGGAGGTGGCTGGTCGGTGCTGGGGGAGGGACACTGGGGCGGTGGGGGGAAGGTCCGGATGGGGGAAGGCGGGTGGGTGGGGGGGTTCTGGGAGGACTGAAGGAGCGGGGTAGTTTTGGGGGGAGGGAAAGGAGATCAGGAGGTTGCTGGGGTCACAGTGCTATGGGGCAGGATTTCATAGGGGCGCAGAGATTGGGGAAGTGTTGGTCAGAAGGGGGAATAAGCTGGGGTAATTATGGGGGGAGGGCTGGTCAAAGATGGGGGCAACTACATGCGGAGCAATGGAGAAAGGTTGATGCAGGGGGAGAAGGACCCCCAAGGGGTAGTTGCAGGGAGAGAAAGGTGTATATGGGGGTGGAGGGATGTGGGGTGGCTAGAGGGAGGGAGGGAGGGGAGTGGGGAGGAGGGCTGGGGGATGGAGGAGGGTGCAGGTGTCTGGGGATGTAGAAATGGAGGAAGAGAGGGGTGTGGGGGAGGAATGGAGGAAGGAGTGTGGGGGAGGGAGGGAGGGATGGGTTATGAGGGGAGGGGGCCGGAGGGAGGGATGGAAGGATGGGTTGTGGGAGGAAGGGGTGTGGGGGAGGGATGGGTTGTGAAGGGATGGATGGGGGAGGGGGCCGGGGTGGAGCGGCGCCCCTCACCCACCTGCTCTGTCCCCCTGCAGACCCGCTCAGACGCCGCTGGAGGGGCCGGGCCGGGCGCGATGTGGGCGCGGTGGCTGCTGCTCTGCGCCCTGGGCGCGCTGCTGGCCGGGGTCGAGGGCTCCCTCCTGCCGCTCGTCGCCCGTCGCCTGCTGGGCCGCTTCCAGCACCTGCTGGGGGACAGCCGGGTGAGACTGAGTGACCCCCGCCCCCCAGGGATCCCCCACCCTTCCCCTGGGGTCTCCAGGGGCCCCCAGCCATCCCCATTCCCCAGCGACCCTCAGCCACCCCATCCCCTGGCAGCCCCAGGGACCTCAGCCATCCCCATCCCTCAGCACCCACAGGGACCCCACAACAACCCATCCCCACCCATAGGCACCCCCACCTGCCCCTCTATCCCTCCCCAGGCACCCCCCACCCCTCCCCAGACACCCTCAGCCATCCCCACCACCCCTCCCTGCAGCCCCTGGGACTCCCACCCTGCCCCATCCCCTGGTGCCACCAGGGACCCCCCACCCTTCCCTGACAGCCTCAGCCGTCCCCTCTACCTCTCCCCAGCCCCCGCATCCCTCCAGCCCCAGACACCCACCTACCTTCTGCCCCCGTCCCATCTATCCTCATCCCCCACCTACGTTTGAGTCTATCTCCATGCACACGCCCTGTCCGTATCTCCGTCCCACCCACGGCTATCGCCCCCCCCATTTCTGCTGGGTGGGAGAGCAGGAGTTGGACCGTGTCTGTCTGTCTGTGTTCGTGCACTCAGACTTCGCTATCTCGGAGGGGTTTTGTGTGAGTCTCTCTGTGTGTGTTTCCTAATTCCTGCTGTGCCTGGCTCTGGGAGGGGAGTAGGGCCTATTGGTTAGAGCCGGGGGGCTGGGAGCCAGGACTCCTGGGTTCTCTCCCCGGCTCTGGGAGGGGAGTGGGGCCTAGTGGTTAGAGCCGGGGCGGGGGGACGGACTGTAACTCCCAGGACTCAGTCGATGTGGGTTGTTGCAGGCGGTGTTGGGGAAGGAGGAGAGGCGCTTTGAGGCCCCCATTGATTTCCGCAAGCTCCCCCCCAACTACCACACCGAAGAGAAGAAGCAGCGCAGGGTGGGGAACGCCACGGTGTACAGCCACCGTGAGATCAACAAGGTGAGCAGGAGCAGGGGGGTGGTGCCCCCACCCACCAGGGCTCCCCCAGGGACGCCTGGGTCAAGAGGGGACCTGAAATCTCCATGTGGATCTTCACCTAGGAACGAACCCCCTTGACCCCAGCTCCCTGGCTAGTTGGGGGGGGAAGTAATGTCCTCCCCAGGGCCCAGCGGGGGCATGGCCGGAGCGCCCTGTGCTGTGGGCGTTCCCTGCTCGGACCCGAGTTCCTTCCCCAGCCCCCTTCCTTGGGCTGAGCCGCTCCCGGTCCTGGTCCCGTGCAGGTGACGGACAACGAGACGGGCGCAATGCTGTTCTTCGACAGGACGGTGACCTCCGTCAAGCAGGGGGAGCGGGGCCTGGCGGAGAGATGGCAGGTGAGTGCGGAGGGGCTGGGACAGGCAGACACACGAGGGCACGGCTGGAGCCCAGAGCCGGCTGGGGATGGATGTGTGGGGTTGGGAGTGGGGACCCTGCATTTGCGTCATTGACGCGTGCCCTGAGTGACCTCCGCTGGGGGTCGGCAGTGGGACTTCACCTCTAGGGACTTCTGGGAAGATGCTCGCAAGCCAGGACTCTTGGGTTCTGCTCTGGCTCAGGGAGGAGAGTGGGGTCTAGTGGTTAGAGCCAGGGCGTGGTGGGCTTGGAGCCAGGACTCCCGGGTTCTCTCCAGCTCTGTCAGTTACTATACACAACCCCCCCGCCCCGACGTGGACCCCCCTCCTTCCCTGGCTGGCTCCTTTAACACCCTGTCTCCTGATTCCCTGGTGCCTGCAGACTTGTGACGCTCTGTTGCGAGGCTGCGTGCAGGGCACCTGCCGC